CGAAATGTCGTGATTTTAAAGAACAGACGATGGAAAAAGTCCTGACAAAGAATAATTTCAAATGTAAACTACCATTGTCAAAAACATTTAGAATTGAATTAATAGCTTGCGATTTTATGCAAGGTATTTACGTGTGGTCGGCTTTTAATGGCGGGGCGTGATGAAAGAATGGCAGAAACGAGGATAACTTCCACGTTCAACACATTCTCCGTCAGCGCTGTAAACAGAGACTTTGTAATGAAGCTAAAAATCACCATTTTGCTTAAAATGATGAAATAATTAAAAGTTTAAAACACGTAACGCTGAAATAAGCCGATATAGGTCTACTGTTTGACAGTACCATTTTCCACATTAAGAATAACTGGAGTTATTTTAAACTCCAGTCTTTTAAAGTTAGAACCAAATGTTTGTTAGTCTACGATAAGCCGTAAGTTTTACATTTAACTGAGAAGAGCGGATTTAATTGTGTTCTTGAGATGACGATTTCGGAATATGCAGCTAATATACCCAGCTTGTTATTGCTGTTATTATTATTATTATTATTATTATTATTATTATTTTGATATAACATACGAAATTTTATATACTTTATATTGCGTAGACGAAGCTGTATTTATTTCCATGTTTCAGTGCCAAGAAGTTACAGGTTACTAAAGCTGGCCTGTTATTTGAAGTTCTACGATTATACTAAATGTTCAAAGATGGCTGTCTTTTGGATTGTAGCGGTTGTTGGATTTATGATTACTTTTAAGTAAAAATATTAATAAAATATTTATATGAAAAATTGTACTATTGCGGTTACTGATAATTATGGTTTGACAAAACGGGACTGTGGAGTAACTGATACTCGTTTTTATTGACAGTTGCTTCACAAGTTATTTTACAGCGCAGTCGTTCTGCATTAGAGCTGATTGTTGAGTCGTAGTCCAGAAGTTGTCGCTGTCTTAATATCCCATTTAATATCCGAGCACGGATTTACTTTATCGACTAAAAATTTGCTGAATTGTGCTCGAAGTTTCAAAGTTAACTTGGTGGGAGTCTGTCCAATTTTAAATTAAACCATTTTCCAAGTAGGGTTTCTTTCTTGTCTCATATAAGAATTAATTATGACATTCTAATCATAGGCATTAGTGACCCTTAAAGAATTGTTCATTCTTTTATAGTGGCATCCAATTGTAATACGTTGCGACGAAAAATAACACAGAAGTTTCCTTGAAACATTCTGAGTTTAGTTGTCAAGTTACTATTGTCCCCGACTTCCTGTGAAAGAAAGTTTACTTCATTGTCCCATCCGAACTGATAGTTCTTTGTTTTTTTCATTGTCCATTTCATCTACTGCAACTTTGAATTTCAGTAACATAAACTCAAGATTACTTTTTTGTATTTAATCCGGGATTTATCTCACATGATTCGTTAACTCCGTTCTTACCATGACATAGAATCTTAAGTAGCTCACAAGTGGAGACAGAAAACAAAACTTATTTAATAGAACATTAGGTCAGTTGTTACTTTCCCAGCACATAAAATGTTTTGTACGTATTTATAGATGAGATTTATTTTTATGCTTATTGGAAAAGTCAGCAGTAGATTCCAGATCCACTGTTCATTATCTTACAGGTTTATCTTAGATTTCAGAAATCTTAATTCGATTGTAAAGTTTCAGAACTATAGTTTAAGTCTACTAGTCGACCACTAATGTACTGTAACATGACTTTCCGCCGCTCCTTTCTCTGGGAAGACTAAGAATTAGTGCTATTTTAGATAAATCACTACTGCAGAACACTAAACTTGAAAAAACCTCATGTCATAATAAAACAAATAGGTCTGTTACAGAACAGTGCATCAGTCCTGTCAGTAAATTCCCTTATTGTATTTAACAGGTGAATTGACTGGAAACCTGAGTTTGTAAACAGTTTTTAAATTATAATAAGCCAATGGATATTACGCTACTACCTAAGCTGTTAAGTTTATTTCACATCAGTAAAAATATTTAAAGAATTACTATTAGTTTTTTTTAGTTGCTTTTAAATTCATAATTGTTTAAATCCGTTTTATAAACAAGCCGCAAATGCTTGGCTTTCTTTCAACCAATTTGCTAACACAAATCAGAAGACAGGAGTTATATATTTGTTGTGGGAGTCTGAAAATCTTTGACGGTGCAGCATTATAAGTAAAATTGTTCTGTTATGCTTTGTCAGTCGTCTAAATTATAAGATTATAAAACTACAACTTTTGAAAGCTGGATTTCACTTCCGTCCTCAGGTAAAAATAAAAAAAAGAAGTTTCTAAATGACTTCCAGCGAGATTTAAGTGCAGAGAATTTAATTTGAATCAGAAATAGGTGTAGGAGATGGACAAATTTCTGTAGGAGTTTTAAAGATTGTATGTTTACTTACCTAATGTGTGTGTGACTCGACTTCTTGTTTATATATTCGGCATGAAATAAAAAAAAACAGAAGATTTCTTTCAAATGCACGAGTAAAGAAAACTTGCAGCAGATAATTGTTTTACAAACTCGCACAAAAATTTACCAATGCATTACACATATATGCACATTCTTGTTATAAGGGAATTTTTTGTAAATACCATAGAACTCAATAACCAACTATGATAACAATCTCGAAATGTGTCAGAATGACGTGCCTCAGTTGTTTGGTAAATTTGCTTCCGTTCCTAATTAAGTCACGGAAACAAATGAGACCTACATAGTTTTTGACGTTAAGCGCTTTCACACCTTAAATAATTCGTCACCCGGGTTAGAATGCGAGGGATTTGCGATGAGATAGAACGTGGATCCATATATTATTCCTTTTTTAGCTGATTGCGAGGATATAGAACAGGTAGTGTAATTACAATTATCAAGATTTTACTGCAGGACGCCAGCTTGGATCAGTAAAATCCCCGAACATCCAGACAAAGCTTTTCCAGTATTTTATCCTTGCAGTTAGAGGAAATTTAGTACGAAGAGTATTTCAGTCAGGAAACACGTTTCCTTCAACACATTATTATTGTTAGTGTTCCGATTTTAAGAATCTTTTTAGCCATATTACTGTGTTCAAACTCAGTACAAGGTTTTAACGCTACAAGTTACTCTAATATTACCTGGATTACACTTACATTTTATTTGTGTTTGCAGAAATAAGAACTCCTCCATTAAAATGCAATGAAACATGTCTGAAGTTGAACTAGGATTAAAACGTTAAACCAAGCTAAGTAAGAAAATTCTCTGATTATCTAGGATACAGAGCATAACGAACGCACAATGACTAATGTATGCGAAGCTTTTAATTATGAATCGTAAAACAAAAACATTTTACCTGTAATTGTTTACTTTCAATAGTCAAAAGCTTTCTTTCCATATAATTTTCTTGCCTAGGATCTGTTTGCGAATGTACATTCCTGTCAATTCAGAAATTATGTAGACCAGTTTAGTTCCTGGTGAAATTAAGTACTCTTAAATGAGCAGATATTTTAATTATAGCTACACATGATGAGACATGAAGCTGTTAATTTTACAGCGATATTGCTGGGCCTCATACCAGTTTGTGTTCATATAATTAGTACTCCAATTCATGCTCTTTAATTGCATTTAAACGAATTTACAAATCCATGGCACTTTTGTGGACGCCATCCGACAGGATGTACCATCGACAACAATATTATTTTAACGTCATCCTTGTTGACGCTTCTCGTGGGAAAAGCAATCTGAACCCGCAATAGGATATGTGAGAAATTTGTAGATTTCATTAGCTGGTTTTATGCGTGACAAGTACCACAAAATTGCTCCCATATAATATCACGTTTTCGTTTGGAAGCGAAAACTGGATTTATGAAAATATGAACAGAGCCGTTTATAAACAGACCTAAAAGTTTTGTTAGTAAACGTGATATGACAATGGTGCCAGAATTTGAGGCTGTGTACGAAAATATTGAGGAATACAAGGTGTGCTCAGAAAAAAAAAAGTTTGCAAGTTTGTGTGATTATTTAAATACAACCAGTGAGGGCAATGATCAGATGTAAGTCCTTAGGTGCTTATAAGGACAGTTTAAGTCGTAATTTTTATTCAGAATTTGGCGTTATTTATTATCTTTTTCTCAGGGATATCATATATATATCGTAACAACTGATAGTTTGGCCGATCAGGCTTAATAAACATAGTCATAAATTTATCCACGTGATGATATTAAAATGTGAACATGTCCTTGAAATTAGACTACGGTCGTCCGTTTGGTTCCCTCTTCGTGGCAGAAATTCAACTTGTTGAATGCAAATAAGTATATCAAATCTCTGCTATTGACACCTCTTAACACAATTACAATTATTATATCAATTTAGTAGTTCTATTATTATATTATTCCACTCAAGCCATGTATGTTTGTCCGCGTTTTTCTGTGTCGTGCTGTCCTGTGTACAGGTAGAGGCCTTGCGAAGGGCCGATCCTTCGTCCAAGGAGTCCTACCGAATGTCTATAGATCAAGCCAACGAAAAGTTGGGACCCGCAGTGGTCAGGCACTTGAAGAACGGGTCGTTCCCAGTATCAAGTATGACTATATTCCTGGAGATACACGAAACAAATGATCTTAAAAATTTCACCGTCGTTTTAAGTTATTGATTTCTCCACACTGAACTTAGTTTTTCTGTTTTACCATTCAGTGACGGTAGCCTTTTAAAGTGTAACCTACCTGTGAATGAATGAGATTCACGTCTCATTTACCTTGTGTATATGAGATGTAGAGGACAGCATCATATGATGACGGTGAGGTCTGTACTAATTACGGATGCCGAAACTAAAGGGGTACTCTAAATAGGGCACAGTTGTGCCAGAAATTCTGCTTTATTTTCATTGTTGTGATTGAGATTAATTTTTCTGAGTCACAGCACGTTACAGAATGTTCCATGACCAAATCTTAATCAGAAACTTACCATATTGAAGAAAGGAAGTCACACATTTGTTCTTCGCTTTACTTATTTTACTCTGAATCATTATATTTCACATAACTATAAAATTTACATGTGTTTTATTTGTTTCAGGAATAGAGTTTTACGTGGTTTTATTTCTGTTTACAATAACTGATTTATTACCATATTTAACAAACATCTCGTGAAGCCGAGTTCTCCCAATCAGTTTCCACTTTCATTAAATTAATTACTAATAAATTATGGCGTTCACAAGATTATTAATTCTTGAAATTAAGTATAGGAATGATTGTCTTTTGACATGTTAAAGTTAGAGAAAATAAACAAGAGATTATTTTTATGTACGATGTACATAAAACGAGTTAACATGCACACTACATCTATAAAGTAAGTAAGACTCCTTTCTGTGGGCGGGACACGGTGATAACGAAGACGTTTAGGTGGATATGAAGTGAATGACATAGGAATATATTTATCTCTCTTGACCTGTTCACGTATGTGTGTAACACCATTTAAAAATTTGACATTACTTGGAAGAAATATAATAATTAAATGCAAAGCAAATATGAGTGTAAAGTGACTTTTTCTTGAACTGTGTTAATATGCAGATTATGTTACAGCCCAAGAAATTAATTTTTCATCTTGCTTTCTCACTTTCAGCTATGTGAAAAATATATTTTAGGCAAGAAGAACTTCTTAAATTTTACACGCCTTTTTAACAAGGTAATGACAGTCATTGCACAGGTCACGTTGTTGAGGCAGATTTAATGTACATTAATTGAATGTTAAGGAAAATATTTTCTTTTAGCTTATCACCTAGGTCGATATATATAATTTAAATAATTATCGGAAATTGTATTTGTTTGAAATTATATTACAATGCCAGCTCTCAAAGAGCTATTAATTCTCATATTTTATTTTATGAGGCATAAAGACTTGTATTAAACACAGGTACAGAAGTTCTTCTTGTCTGAGGTCTGTATATCACAATAAAGATGATAAATTTACAACTTCTTAAAAAGAAAAATGGCTTGTGTTCAGTATATACGAATTAGTATTAAGTACATATCCACATAAGTCACTGCTCACCTCTAAAACGAATAACTGTAATGATTCACAATGTGTAATTCCTTCGTTCATGAATTTTTTTGTGGCTGGAGAAAGTGCAGTAATTTTATCACACACGGATAGGTACATAGTAGCTTTCCGAACACAATCTTGCACGTCTCACAGCCATTACTCACCATCTCACTGTACGTTGCGTTCAGATGTACGTCGAACCGTATCGCCTTCCTTTAACACTTCTCTTTAAGCCTCCAATTTCATCACGATCAACTTCGTTCTTCCGTTCAACTACCGGCCAGGCCAGGGGTATCCAAAATGCGAGGACAGTGACTTGAGGTAACAAGCTTAGGTCGAAAAGTCTAACAAATATTTTATACTGATTTTAACACGTGCATTTAGTTTATATAAAATGATTCATTTGTGTAACTCACAATGTTGAAATTTCAGACTCTTTTAATGCAATATTTTGTTTACTAAATTCTTATTTATGTTAAGTATATTATTCAGAATAAGCATATCCTCATAACAACACAGGGTTTAATTACGTTTTACGAAGTATATATTCTATATAGTATTAAATAAATGCAAATAAACCTACTGTGTAGGTAGTATATGACTTTTTTCAATTTGACTTGCTGTTTGACGGTAAATTTTGTTATCACAGTGCTTTGTTAAACATGTATTGTAATGCAATGGAATTTGATTGAAATCCCTTATATTCCCATAACAAGTACCCTTTTCTACTTGCACTGAAAGACTTTAATATATTAGGTGTATGTGGCTTATGGAATTATATTACAACTGCTCCATCGCCATCACAAATCTGAATCTGCAACACAAACCATAAATTTCACAAATACCAAATTTACAACATTATATGGTTATTATATGAAAGGGAACGGCGTTCTTTAATATAGTCGCACACTAACAGACATTAAATTAAAGACGAAATCATGTAATTGTTTTATGAGATTTATATTTTTGCCATAGCTTCGTTTGTTTCCTTTAAATTTGTTGCTAACTAATTATGAAATGAGAATGAATTAAGTTTTGGAATGTGTAAGATCTTTTGTTTTGTGTTACGTTCTGAATTCTGCATAAGTTTCGTATAGGGTATTGAAGCATATACTTCGTGCATCTGACATGTAAAATGCAACCCTCGGTGATCTTATGAATGTTCTGGTAAGTGTCATTGATGTTTCGGTATGAGCCATGGATTGTAGCTGGATGCTTTGTGATCGGAGTGATAACGTGATAAGTTTACATGTAAGGGTTTTGTGATTAGGGCATGTTGTTAAACTTAATTTGACTCACCAGTCCTCTAATTTTCGGATGAAAACAAAGTTTTAAAAGCTAGACTCTGCTTCAATAATTATATGCGAGAGTGAAACGTGTTTTGTTGGGTCCATTGGCTGGAAACCGTATCCATCCTGGGTCGTCAACAGTGGTATTCATCATTGTATATAAATTAAATGGGTCCGAAACGTCTTATTTTATCAGACGATGCAATAATTGAAATGGTCTAATGTATGTATTCTGATCTTCAATAACGCTTTTATAATTCACTGTTTCAAGTGTCGTTACAGAAATATCAATGTATTGAATAAGTATTTAGACAAAGTTCTTATCAGTTCTGCGTTAAGGCAAAAATTCCGAGTGGGAGAAAGTAAGGTCAAAAATTAGAGTGTTACTGAACCATAGAGGAAGTGTGGGATTAATTCAGATTTGAAACTGTGTTTTGGAAAACTGGTCTACGAAATCTTGCGAGAGAAAACTTTTCTATGCTGGAATTTACTGCTTACTGGAACAAATCGTTCTCTAAATGTGATTTAATTGGCGTACAAATTAGTTCAAATATTTAAACATTTTATGGTCTGTATTTATTCTGCTTTTCACTTTGAAATTTCCACAATATTTTCATGTAGCAAATACGCACCACGTTATACTTCGCCAGTACTTATATTATACCAAAATAAATTCCTCGACAATGTTAAAAGATATGTTGTTTTCGTAAAATTTATCTTCCTGTCTCCATAAGTAAACACCTCCATTTATACAGTAGACATAATTTACAGTAGCCAACGTATTAATATTACCAGGACCTTTATCATAAACCTGTTAGTATGTTTAAATAACTTTTATCACTGAATTTCGAAAAAAAATATGTACACACACAAACGCGTTATAAATCTGTTTCAAATATCTCTAAACCAATTATTTAATTACACCACATAAGTACAATTCCCACGTTAAAAGCAGTGTTCTCATGCATTACGATGCATTCATTTAAGAAATCTGAATATATAACATTGTTTAATATCTGAGCAACATGTGAATAGTTTGTGATCCACACATAAGCCCGAGTAAATTAATCTGTAATTATACTTTATTGCCTGAGTTAAATTAAGGACTACAAGGAATTAAATGCAATATGGACTATACCGTGCTAGGCTTGTAGGTTGTGACGCCGTGTGAAACTGTAGCTAAATATCAACGTTTTGGTGGAACATATTGCTTCCATCTTCATGGTTTGGTGGACTCAGTGCTTTACTCTGAAATGTTGGTGTGTACCTTCAAGTCCGCAAGACGTCGCGACACAGAAGACCACCACAGACATCTTCATGTCCGTGCGAACCTCAAATCTCATGTATTAGACCAGTCCTTAGTAACTGTTGGCGTTTGTGAAGAACCAGGATCGTGTTTATAGGACGTGTATTACAAGGTATAAGACACGTATTGGAGTTCCGAGCGTGTAGGCGCCTCTAAACATTGTTGAATAACATGCGGATATTCTCTGGATAATAATCCAGGTTGTAATTAATATATTGTCATCATTTATTAAAATATTTTTGGTGAGTCATAATGCAACGTTTCAATGTAAGTAAACAAAATTAATGTGAAAGCTGCGTTTGTTTTGTTAAGCTTATATAAACTGTTTGGTGCGGAGATGGATGCTAATTGAAGTCGGAAGCTATATGCCGAGGGGCGATTTAGCAGTCTCCAATGGCCGCCCCATCATTCAGTAGCTGCAGGACATTTTCATTACATTCCGTTCCCAATGACATACAAACGTCTACACAAACATGCAATGCCAAGCGATAGGAGCCCAATGTCAGCGGAATTAGTTCTGATGCCAAGACCCACAGAAATAGTTTTCAGATTCGAAATTAATAGTTTTTTATGTTGATGTTATGCTTCTAATACTTTATCTTAGCGATCTTTTTGCTTTGAATGTAGTGTTCTGTTATGGTGAGGAGAAACAGGTGTATAAGTTTAAGTGTTCTCTCTCTGGAGATGTAATATTGAGACAGATCTCTTAGTAGGTCTGTTTACTTTCAAAACATACTTCCAGTTTGCTACAACATAAGTAGAAGTTTCTTTTTATAAAATCTGTGTCAATTTTATGGAGCTATACCTCTCAGTTAACTGTGAATGTGTGCTGAATATTGTCATAGAGATTTTCTTACAGATTCATTAATTGTGTTTTATAGAATGTAGTGTTCACATTACTCACACTTGAATTATTATCGCTTCTATCTTTTTCGATGTACGTTCTTTGACTTTCTTCTGATGTGCTGCTCAAAATCGTATAATTTAACAGAAGAAGATGACAAGTTTCATAAAATTGCACAGAATCTGTGTCGTGTTGCGTCGCTTGTCAATAGCAAGGTCCCCCGATGTCCTCAGATATTATAATTTGATTATGTAGTAGGCGAAGTAAATAAATTGTAGGCCTCTTTTCCTTTTGTAAATTCCACATTGAATGCTTATTATATGGTGGACATGCGTATTTCAGCAGTCTAGTATTTTGTAATTTAATTCGCGTATATAATGGAACAGACAGATTCGTAGGAGCACAAACACGTGTCACTAAGTTTGTCCCGAGGTAATTTCCACTTTAAAGTACTTATTTCAACGAAAAACAATAGTACCCACCATTAGCCGTTTTAGAGCCGAATTATTATTAAAAATGTGAAATGTATTTCAAAATATGTGTATACACGTGTCACGTGTTTGTGTGTGTGTCAATCAGTGAGTGTACGCCTTGTATAAGCATAATACTCTTACGTAACAAATTTTAATTTTTCTAAAAGTATTTATATGACTTAGTGGTCGTTATGATAGCTAAAATTTAAAACACGTGCATTCCATGAACAGGTTAGTTATTAGCTTGCCAAATAGTGAGAATTTCTTACGGTAAAAATGCAGCTTAATAATTAGTTATAATAAGGTGACAATAGAGGCCTCTCATTATCCGGAAGTGTCGCTATTTTCTTTTCTACCCGTCCACCTCTGTAAAGATGTGGACGACAATAAGAAACAGTGAATTATTGTCTTGGTAACGACACGATTTCAGTTGACTTAATTCCAGTACACCTCAACCGAATATGCTTGACCATACTAAAACTTTAAGGACAGTGGATTGTCTTTATCATAAAATGAAATTTTCTTAAGTGTCTCTCTTTCACTTACCAGAAAGAAAAATCAACCTGGACGGATATTGTGCTGCAATTGTTTATCTGTTAATCAGTTAGCCTGATTAGGGAGACAGCCCAGAACTTGAATATGTGCTGAAATTTTAAATGGAAGTAAACAAGATGCGTTTGTTTCCATGGAAGTCGCCTTTTTCCTTAGAAAATGCGGGTGTACTTAATTTGTCATACTCCATACGGCAAAGGATAACAGGGTTTCACTTGACGTGTTGGCTTACTGTCTTTCTGCTTGAGATGAAAGCACACGTTTGTTGTCTTTACATATCGATACAATTTCTTTGCACAGCTTCAGGTTACTCGAGTGTTCGGCCCAAAGTAAACTGTCTTAACAAAAGATCTTACAGCTTAGTAGTTCATTCCGATCATGCAGTTGTATATATAGTTATATCTGATGGAGTAATTGTTTGGTATTCTAAACTGTAGCATTATATAATTAAATTCTGATTTAAACTAGTCTTGCAAAACTCGTGCTTTTAATTAAATTGTTGTGTATAGTATTAAAAGAAATGTTGTACTTTGCAATTATTCATATTTTTAGACACGTTAGTAAAAGTGAATTTTGGAGTTGTAAATTATCACGTATTTCAATTATAGTTTACATACTTCAGTATGGGAATTTTAATAATTGTTCTATCACAACATTAACACACGTCCGTAGTTCGTGTTGCTATAAAATCTACATTCATTAACGAATTTCAGGAAAGTTTGGGGTTTTGTCATTTTGAAACATTTCTAAAATATGTTAAATTGAAGTAGGTACGCAGAATCTATCTAATTGTTGTTTGTATCCGGATATGACCAGCCCTAAAAAACTGCCGTCAGTGCAAGGTGACCTTTAATTTTTTCGAACCTGAACCAAGAAACCGTTTCTGTTGTATAAATGAACTTCGATTCAGAAAAAAGGTTGTTTCACAAATATAAATATCATTTATTATTCGCATTTCAGAGCTTCCATTTATATTTCTGCATTAGACCAAAATATATCCGTAATTTACATCTTTCCCTTTAAGTGAGCTTTCTCTTACCTTACTGGAAATTACTGAATTTAAAAATTATTAAAAGTTACAATCTCTGCATTGCAAAAAATAGTGTATAATTTAGTTTTAAGCTTAAAAGTTTTCCGCATTTTCAGAATTCACTTTTAATTTTAAAATAATACAATTCCTTTTCTGTTCGCCATGTGCCGTTTTAACACGGATCTGTAAAATCGGATGTGAAGTTGATGCTGATTTTATATAAAAAACTACTCATTATTTCTTAACTGAAATAAATACCTTTCCTGTTTACCATAATTTAAGAATGTTGGAAGCTGTCAACAAAACAGTTCACAAACAATAACTAAAATGCCGGCACACAAACAAGGTGTTGTAACATACACGGTATGTTAAACATTATAGGTTCTTCTGCCAAAGCCGAGATTTTCCTGTGGGAAACGTCCTCTCATTTCATAGTGTTTTGTGTGAACTGCACGGTGCCAGATGTTCTGATCGTGTCTGTACGTCTATATCGCGATATTTTGTGTTTACGTTATTAGGCCTTAACGAAGTTACAATAAATTAAAATTGGTTTAACTTTCCCATAGTCTGTTGTTACAAGACTACTCTGTTGGTTATAATATATTGTTCTTGGCGTAAAGTCTTAAATCTACCTATGTACCTTCTATCTACAGCCACTATCTAGTTCCAAACGCATTTACCATTGCCCCTCTCACTTCATGCAGTTAGCTGATTTGGTACACAAATATTCAACAGCGTGGAACATACATATAATCACAACTATAATAATTTACATTCTCATTAAAAATTAAATTTGAGCGAACTTCGAACAGATTACACATTGTTTTTTGTACGTAAAGTTATTTCCGTTACTACTAATACAAATTTAACACTCATAAATGGTAACTTTTATATTTTTCCTTGGGGCTTTTAGCACTTTAATAACATCTTAAGCAACGCGGTACTGCAAACCATTACCATCATGACTAGCTATTTCATTCTACCTAAGCCATTATACAAAATTGTGGAATGACTTGTTTGGATCATTGTATTCCATTTACTGTCTTATTGTACCCCTTTTTGGATGTGGAATTTAATTTTCTCTTTATTTTAGAAACTTTAAACTAGAAGCCACTGTAAAAATTTGTTCTCACTTTCAGAGACAGATTTTAGGCTATGTACAACAGTTATAATCTGTTTTACAGAATTCTTTCCCAGATGTAATTAATAAATCATTAAAGTAAAAATTCTATCCGTAAATAACGTTTTTCTTTCTAGTGTTCTGTTAAGTTTGCAGCAGCTTCGTCTGCACTTCGTCCTACTGCTTATTATATGTATCTGATTTGCACTGAAGCTGTCTCCAAACTTCCTTCGAAACTCTAAGAGCCCTGGTAACGTTTCTCGGAAGCTAACAACACTTTGTCCATTTCTTATATCCGTACATATTTCTTCCTCATTCTATTAGTCATATTTTTAAGTTGGTAACATTTCACTTGACTAGTAATGTTATTTCAGTATATTTTCTACGCTCTGAATGTTGGTAACACTGAACACATGTGACATACAAACGTTGCCGAGGTCGGTCCTGACTTGTTTAGACCACGAACGTGATGGAAAGATGGATTGATTGCTTCTGATCTTGGAGCTATCTTGCAATATGGCCGCCCAGTATCAACAGCAGAAGATGGACAGACGCTGCTAACCGCCATGACGCATTCTGTGACGTAACTGTAAGCCCAAGAAATTAAAAATTAACTGGAGTAGTATGACCCGTCAAAGTTGACGGGAATGAAATATTTTTGTGTTGAACAACAATAACATTTACTGCAACATTATATTTGAAAATCACATTTAAAGAACAAAATTTATAAACTCTCGCTATGGAGTAAATTCAATTTGGAAACATCTCCACGGCGACTGAAGCCAGATTTGAGCGAAACGCACCAACATAAAATCGATCGCTTGACCCTGGACTCCTTATCAGACGCAGACTCCACCAGACCCACAATAAGCATCGCCATAGCCTAGTTTGCATTTCTTGCTACCAAAGTCCCCACCGTCACAACATAATTTCAACTATCAAATCTAAAACTTCTTGACGGTGGTGAAGAGTCAATTGAATAAAAATTTTCT